ATACAACCCAAGATTTATTTATTTTTGAAATTTTGAAAATCTTCAAGAGCGTAGTGGGTAACCACAAGTCGGTTCCTCACTCGCAAGAACAAAAATAACGAGGACAATGTTCTCCTCCAACCAAGATCTTCCAAGTGCTCAAGCACTTGGCATCAACCATCCCCCAAAATTATCAAAATTTTATACTTCAATGCCTAGGCTTCTTCTCTCAAATTCGGCAAGAACACTCAGAAAAAGAGCCCATTTTGGTTACTTGAATTGTTGTAAAGGAAGGCCGCATTCAGGTTGAATGTCCTCAGCAAGCATGAAGGAAAAAGATGTAACTGTTGGGCCCCATTATTTTGAGGCTTAGTGTTAAAGTAGAGAGACGCTCGTACTCGTGCTCATACTATTTATGACTGAACAAGCAAGGGATTGAGCAACTAGCGCGAAAGCCGTTGCGCGTTAGCGCATCCGTTTTCTTGTCTTACAACTCAATTTATCTTTATTCTCAATGCAACACAACCTAAATATATATTTTATTTTAATTTATCTAAAAATTGTAATTTCATCCCAAAATATATCAAGTGTGGTTTCTACTTGTAGAGATTGAAAAAATATAAATTTTGGTATTTTTTATATATTTTTCTTAACCAAAAAATTACATTTGTCAAATAAAAATGGGACAAATATTTCATTTCCATCCACACAACCGGTGCAACCCACGGTCAAATTGTGACCTGGGTTGCTAAATTGATGACCTCCTTTTTCTTTTTCTTGATTTTTTTTTATTTGTATGGGCAGGGGTGACCCAACATCAAGGTCACCGATAAAGCAAGCCTTAGAAGTTCCAGACGATGACCGAAAATTAGTTAAGTGCAATTGTTTTGCAAAGTTGGGCAAAGTGTCACGAAAAAAAGTTGAGTGGATAAAGTGCAAAAAATTCTATAGTTAGGTGTGTTAAGTGTAATTTTCCCTTAACATAAACTCTCCCTATCTATATACATATAAAAAGGTTTGATATTGACCTAAAATAGTAACAAAAATCCCGCCTAAAAATTTTTAAATTACTGCTTTTAGTAAATTTTTTTAGATTTTTTGAAAAATTCCGCCATTTTATCTATAATTTCGAAATTCAAAATTGTTTTGGATTCATTTTGTGGTAAATTTTATAAATTGTGGCAACAAATTTACCATTAATTTTCCATATAAATAAACATAATCCCTTATTATAAATGAGCCGCAACTTACCTTAATATATACTTTCCGCAACTTCCATATATTTACTTCAATGAAAAAGCATCATTTCAAGAAATAATATTTGATTTAATTTTTGCAATGTATATAACATATTTGTTGGGCTGTGAACGAAAATGATGGACCAGAACATTGTATATAACATTTTTTTTTTTTTTTTGCTTCAAAGTGATTTGACTTTTACAAGTTAAACTAATCATATTTCTAACTTTAACTCCAAAATATTATTGGACCGGTATATGCTTTAGAAATTTTTATTCATTTTTTTACTAGAGTTTGGAAATTTTTATTTCAAAATATTATTGGACCGGTATTTGCTTTAGAAATTTTTATTCATTTTTTTACTAGAGTTTGGAACTTTTTATTTATTTTTTTTAATAGGGGCGTCGCTCATTGTCCATTAATTATTATTATTATTATTATTACTATTATTATCATGATTATTATCTTTTTCGGTTTGGTCTTAGTGGAAAAAAATATAAATTTTTAGGAATTACGATTTCGAGTTCCAATGTTGTAGGGGGATTGTGGGATGAAGAGGAAAAATAGTTTGATTTCGGTGCCTATATATATAGGTTTGTATTTATTTAAAATTGAAACTGAAATCCCGTCTAAAATTTTTAAAGTACTAAAATAGATAATTTTTAAAAAAACATTCAAAAACCCCGTCTCTAGAAATTAATTAATCAATTTATGGTATAAAATTGAAAAAATTAAAAAATTCGGTGTTGGTATAAAGTGGGCAATTTTATTTAAGATATCTAATGGTCATTTTATTTTTTTGTAGGAAATGTGTTGTTATTAATAAATGTCATAATTTATGGTACAAAAAGAGCAAATTTATTTTGGTAGAAAATGTCTAAATCTAAATGGTATGAATTTTATTTGGTACTAATAGAAGTGTATATGAAAAATTTAAAAATAAAATAAGTGGTACGAATTTTATTTATTATTGGTATCAAAGTCAATTTTCAAGTTGATATTTTTATAAAAACAAGGCGAGATATTTCATAATAACTTGCATCAGATATTGATGATGATCCATCAAATTAGTATGTATTCCTCTTTAAATTAGAAAGATATTTGAACAAATTTAATTCAAGATAATTAATTGATAAATTTGTACGATAAGGTAACTGACTCTAAAAAATTACGAGATAATATATGTGTGTATGTGTGTGTGTATAAAGGAATTTATTGTGTATTCCGAATTTGGAATCCAAATTCAGAAGTCAAATATGTAATTATTCATAACTTACGGGTCAATATTAATACGTAAATGGAATAATCAATTGTTTATAGTTTAATAAATTACTCAACTACTTATTTTTTTTTTTTATTTGGATAGTCTATACAAAAACAAATTCATATAAGTTAATGAAACAATATAAGTTTTAAATATATGATAAAATTTTACCAAAATAATTGTTATATGAAATACATTGTAGTCAAATAAAATTTTTTTAAAAATAAATTACACTGATACTTATTATGAAATGAATAGAATGTATTGTATCATCATTTACGTATACTGTATGAGTTGTGTATTAATTTTAAATTAAAATTATTATGTAATTTTGCACAATTTATGTAAATTAATATATGTAAATTGTAGTATTTATTGAATTCACATTTTTAATTTGAAAATATTATTTAACAAACATTTTTTATTTATAAATATTAATGAATCTATCTTACCGTACATCGCACGGGATTCGTACTAGTTAGACTGGAAAAACTTGAAGACCAGAAATAAGTTATGTTTGGTAAATCTAGAGTTGGTTTTAGTTGATTGCTTATACCTGAATTTCAAGCTCATATAACCTATAGTTTATGGCTAAAAAGTTAGTCGATATGATAAAAATGTTTAGTAATATCAGCTAATAAGTCAGCTGAAATAGAAATTTCTACGGCCTTAATTGAAAAACTACTGAAGGATGTTTATGAAATAAGATCGAGCTTAATAAAAAAACCCGTCATATCAAACCAATTTATAAGTTAACCAAATTGAGATTGAAATTAGAAGTTTGACTATCTTCAAAACATGTATTATATATTGTAAACATAAATTAAATATATATAATTTTATGACATTATTAAATATGTTAAGCCTAGAAAAAGAAAATAGTAATTAGGTTGTATTATCGGTAAATTTTGTGGTAGAGGTTATTTAATTAAAAGTACTGACGGGATTAAAAAATAAATAGAAAGAATCAATTATGAACTGCGATTTAAAATTATAATTAAAATTATCTATATTTTTTTACTGTAATTAATTATATATGTTAACAATAGCAATAAATTATTTATCATATATATTAAAAAATTAATATGCACATCCTATTAATAAATATTAAGCATATTAAGTAAACAAGGACAATAAGCATGAAAATGAATAAATAATTACAACTGTGACGGTCATTAAATATGAAATTTATCGATATTCATATTGATTATTATTATTATTATTATTATTATTATTATTATTATTATTATTATTATTATTATATTATTATTATTATTATTATTATTATTATTATTATTATTATTATTTATTTGTATAAGTGATTGTTAGCCATGAATTTTAGAATTGCATGATCATTTCAATATCATTTTAAGTTATTTGATATATATTTATGTTATGTTTAGTAAAATATATTTCCTATATTATCTCTACCAATAATATTTTGAATTTGAAAAAAATACTCCTTTGATTTTCCTACAATTATGGTAATGGCCAATATTATGACCGAGATTTTGAAAATTTTGATGGTTAGATAAATAAGGTAACATTAATTACCTATTTACATGGCATGACTTTGTTGGGAATGATTTGTTGGATTTTGACAATGATATTCAATTTAATTGTATACGCGGAATTTTACCAAAATAAATAAATAAATAAATAAATAAACAAAAGGAAAAAAAAAAACCATTTAATTGTGAATTGCGATTTTTTAATTTTTTACTATGATTAATTATATATTATACCAATTGCAATAAATTAATTATCGTATATATTAAAATAGTTAATACACATCCCACAAATAAATATTAAACATGTTGCATAAATAATGACAATAAACATGAAAATAAATAAATAGTCACAACTATTATGGTTATTATTATTATTATTATTATTATTATTATTATTATTATTATTATTATTATTAGTTAATATTAATTAAATATATATAATTTGCTACGAGATTAAACTTAAGAAGTGATTATCTTCAAAGCACTTATATTATATTTTAAACATAAATTAGATATATATATATATATATATAATTTACTATGAGATAAAACTAGAGAAGTGTCATTATCTTCAAAACACTTGTCATATATTGTAATTATAAATAAAATATATATAATTTGCTACGAGATTAAGCTTCAGAAGTGTTATAAATAAAATATATATAATTAGCTACAACATAGAAAAATTCTAAATGACCAAGAAAACAGTTCACAACAAGAGTCTCAAATTATCCACGATATTACAGTACCCTCCAAGCACTTCACACTGTACCTGGTTCTATCTGAATTGCTAACCTTGAACAAAGAGATTAATCAAACATGGCAGAATAACAGATGTTTGTAAGGATCAAAAAGCTTGCAGAAAAAAACAAACAAGAATGTCGAATAATTTTTCAAGATCTAAAACACCACCTCAACCGTATTGCCACCGCAAAATTGACACGTCAAAATCCATAATCGGATTCTTGAGTGCAAGATCAATTAACAAGGTTGAAAACGGTAATATTTTAACGCTTTGGAGGCGCAAAGTGATTGTCGTTAGGGTTCCTCTTGCCACTGAAAACAGCGAGTGCTTTCCGAACGGGAGGCTGGAAAGGAGCTTTTTTATCATTGTGGTGACGGAAAATGTCATCTGGTACAAAGAAGTCATCATCCTACAGAACAGATCATTCTAATCAAGGACTTGAATAAACCGAAAGATAATGGAAGCGTATTAAGTCTGTTAACGGCTAAGACGCGTTAATACTAAATATCATTATAAGGGAAGCGAAGGTAAACCTGCTTATTTTTCTTTTTTGTCTTGGGATAGAGATATTTCTGTGGAAGCTGATCTTCACGTAAAATCGGGTTCTTAGTAACTGCATCTCTACCACCTTGTGGCAAAGGTAAAGAGAACTGCAAACGCAACACATATAAAGAAATGAATTTTGCAGACAGCTCTAAAGCATCAGAGTAAATTCACGGGAGATATTATGTTACATTAACAAATAAAAAGACAGAATCTACAAATGACAAAAATAAATATATGATTCTGAGCAACAAAATATTAAAGGTAAATAGAAAAATGCTTCCTTCAATATATTATATTATCTCGTGGAGAAGAGGAATGCGGAGAAGAATGATACAAAAATGGATTTCTAAACCATAGAGATAAAAAAGCGAAAAATCCAGCTTCTAAACTACAGCTCTAGTTTCATCCACACCAGAAAGTTCACCCATAAATAATTTTCAAATATTGCCAATGTCATAATCTGACACAGTCATAATAAAACAATGAATAAAAAGGTCATCCTTGCTTCTAAAGTCAATAGTACCTTTGTCCCGCGCAAGGATACACGAGGCCTCCGTGCAGCCAACATAATACCATTCTCATTAACTGTAACAGCAACTTTACGTAGGGTGCCCCCATTCCCACAAGAGGGGCAGAAAATTCTACCACTCTCTGTAGTCACCTTAAAGCAAGCATGGCACTTCAGCACCCACCTAGAACCAGAACAAAGATACCCAGAGAATAAGAATCACTAGGTGGTCCAGCAATAGAAAAAGTCCAACACACATAACACAACAATATTTTGAGTTCTCAATGGTGGCCAAGTAAAAAACTGAGAGAGACTCGAGCAAAGAAAATGAAACATCTATAAAAAAGTTCAATCTCAAGCACAGTATATGTACCAAAAGGTGTTGCTTTTGCAATTCAAAATGCGCAGTAATCCAGGTACAAAAGTATCAATACGCACTAACTGATTTAGTAGTCGAATAGAGCATCGTAATGTCTAATAGGTTCAGATTTACTTCCTCCACTGTTACACTAAAAGTGTTTGAAACAACTTGAGACATGAACAAAAGATAGTAGAGGATACTATTAGTTCGTATATATCAACTTAACTGCATTCTTTTTTTATGTTTTATTAGCGACACAATTTGGTATCGATTCTAACAGATCTTGTACATGACTTACTCTTCCTATTTAACTTCATTGTTCATTAGCCAATTGAATTTAGAGTCAACCAATGTATACCTGTGGAGCTCACGAATCTGCATCCCACCAGGAGCCAGGAGTCGTAAACCAATCTGAAGCAGCACATTTTGCATCGCAAAGTCAGTAGTCACACAAGCCACACTGGACTCGGACAAAGATCTAAGCGACCAGCTCTGTTCACTACTCATATCATCCACATTCAACTCATTTTCTTCTAATGGGCCAGTCATTTCTAAGTTCCCCAGCTCTTGTTCAGTGATTTCAACATAGTCTCCCTCTACGTTGCCTGTTGAATCAGTTTCCTTGGGAGCATCAAATTCAGAGGACTCCAAATGCTCTTCATCCAGTTTCATTGTCTTCAGACTCTCAGAGATATTAATCTCTCCATTCTTCTTATTGCCAATCATGTTATCCTGAACTATGGCATTTGTCCTTTCTTCGTAACTTTCATCTACTAGAAGCTCTGGACACTGAGCATCACCGAGATTTTCATTTTCCACATTACAGGGCGTGTTTTGCTGATCATCTGAAGCAGATAAGGCTTCACTCATTTCACGTCTAGCTTTCCTTCTAAGAAACCTTCTGTGAGTACTTCGACTCACGGCAGGTCGCCAGTCATCATTGTTGTCATCAATTTGACCTAGTGATGCATCAACACCATCGGCCACCATCTTTTTCCCCTCGATTTTTACCTCTCTCTTCTTTGGGGAGTATCTCTTGGGTTTCCTGAAACCATCATCAAGCTTATCAACATTCCCATCGTGCGACTCACTGCCATCTTGAACAGAACCATCTTCTGGGGAAGGTTCATCAATGGAATCCGTACCAAGTGTCAAATTTTTTAGGGGTAAAATCCTAGAATTGATATTTGATTCGTTTTCAACAGCATGCTCTAGGGCTTCCCATTCTTCGAGATTTGGGACATTAGAACCCCATCCAGGCAAGTCTTTTTCAGGAAGCCTTTTGACATTAACTGTATGAATAGGAGGGGGGCTGTCCCTGAGATGTTGAGTCCCGTGAATTTGGGCTTCTAACGTATAAGTCAAAGCAATTAGCTTGAGATCCACATCTGAAAGTGTTTGCAAGTCACCAGTAGCCTTTGCAAAGTTGATCACTGTAGAACAATGAAACAAGTAACACAGTTAAGATCACCACTCTATTTTAAGTTAGTCCAATTACTGCTAGTATTGCCCTACACAAAAGATTGTTATCATTATGAAAAACCTAGCAGCCAAATTCATTCCACTTCTATTGCAAATCACATCAATTTCAATGTGATTTGCGATGAACTTCAATGCGAGCACTATAAAAACTGCTGAAATGTTCCTCAACAAGAAAAATTAAGAAAACAAAACAAAACAATCTGATGAAATGCGAGCACTTCAAAAAACCTACAAGAACCAACATTCTTTCTTAATGAAATAAAAAAAAAA